ACTATACAAGAGTATACGTAGACCGCTTCTCCCGATGCTGGCATTGCTGCCATGCGTCGTGGAACTTCTGCTCGTTTGCGATACTTACATCCTGGGCTCCATGGATGTCGGTCTGTCTCAAACTCAATAGCAAATGTCACCGTGTCGAACCAGACCGCTCATTGACTTGCTCCTTTGGGCCCGGTTACAGGGTGTTCATTTCTTCATATCGCATTTCAACACGGATGTATCAGAAACTCAAAAGCGTGATGCTTGGCTGAGGGTCAATATGGTACATATCTTCACTGTCAAGAGCACTTACACGAGTAGCAGAAGATGATTGGGGTCTAACATTACAGCGAGCTCATACTGAGTTACAATCTGATACTACCGTGGAGACATCGACATGGATACAGAACAACACTCCATGGGTGATTGGTATATGCCTCATTATCTAAAACTCTGTCAGTTGTGCATCTTTGTCTCCTCCGAGCGAGGCCTTGACGTTGAGAGAATCTTGCGCCACGACTCATCCTGGACACCGAACGAATTCAATTGGGATACTTGAGGACTATCCGACCATGGTTGTCAAGCAGGAATCAATACGGTTGCAGAAGTTGTGCCGGATCTTGCCATAATCACATAATTTCTCGTCGGTTCGCTCATGGCTGGGTGGGTATATTTTACCAGCCTCTACGTATAATTTAGAGCATCTTCTTCTTCCAACTTACATCCAAGAGCCTTTCGGATGACCTTCAAACGTACTCGTCCCTTCGATGTTCACTGTACCCCCTGTCACTTGGACGAACATGAACGCAACGCCATCGGCGCTGGAGACGGTAGCAAAGGCAGCATGGAGTGCCGTCCCAACTCTGGTGCAAGAGAAGCTATCTCAAGCTGCAATTGGTAGTCCGGTCATCTTAGGCCTCTCGACCGTCCTCACCCTGTTCTTTACCTGGCTCATTAGCATCTCCATCTACCGCATCTGGTTTCATCCCCTCAGCAAGCACCCAGGACCACTCCTCTGCAAACTCACTAGCACCGTGTGGGCATACCACTTCACCAAAGGATCTATCCTTCAATGGGAAGCCAAACAGCACAAAAAGTATGGTCAGACGGTGCGTCTGGGTCCGAATCGCCTGAGCTTCATCGACCCCCGCGCCTGGAAGGACATTTACGGCCACAAGTTTGGCAACGCCAAGCCAAACGTCAAGAACCTCGACCGCGCCGTCAAGAACATGCCGAGCGGCCGTCTGCCCATGGCCCTCGAGCCCACCACGGCTGGGCACGCGACGCAGCGCAAGCAGTTCAACCCCGCCTTTGGCGAGCGGGCGTGGAAGGAACAGGAGCCTCTTGTGCAAAAGTACGTTGAGCAGCTCATGAGCCGGGTGAGTGCGGATATTGCCGCCAGTGCCGACGGCGAGACCGTAGTGGACATTGCTACGCTGTACAACTTCATGACGTTTGATGTCATGGGTGATTTGACCTTCGGCGAGGGTCTCGGCCAGCTCGAGACTGGAATCGAGTCCTCGTGGGTTCCGGCTGTATTCGTCATGTACAAGCTCTTGAGTTCGTCCTTCCTCTTCAACCCCTTTTTTGGCATATAAAGGCTAATATTTTGGGTGTCATTACAGACAAGAGATCTGTCATCAAGGCCTATCCCCTTGGTGGATTCTTGTTCGATCTCTTCGCGCCCAAGGGTATGCTGCAGGATTCCGCCAAGCACATGCAACATTGCAGCAATCTCGTCGCCAAGCGCTTAGAGAAGGGCAACGACGGGAGGCCGGACATTTTCGGCCATGTACTCAAGCAGCCAGGGGAGACCATGTCCCGCACGCTCATGAACGCCAACGCCAACATGTTGATGGTGGCGGGGACGGAGACAACAGCCACTACCCTGACGACCGTGACGCACTTGCTTCTCCGCAACCCGGACAAGATGAAGAAACTCCTTCGTGAGATCCGTAATATTCCGGACAGGTCGAGCTTGAACAGCCAGGTTGTCCAGAGGATGCCTTACCTAAACGCTGTCATTGAGGAAGCTCTGAGATGTGAGCACTTTTCCGACATGATCTGTCCTTTCCCTTAGTAACGGGCAATTTCTGACTATACTTCAGTCTACCCAAGTGGCCAGGTTGGACTAGGAACGCAGCGAGAGATTGCGGCCGGAGGCAACCAGGTTTGCGATGATTTTCTTGCTGAAGAGGTATGTGCTTCGAGCCCCATCCTCCCCAGACCGCCAGATTCTATGCTGGTAACGTGGATACGAAGTACTCCAACTAACCTGAACATGCCCACAGACTGAAGTTGCCGTAGCCGCCTGGACAATGTCCAACTCAACTCTCCACTGGAAAGAACCTGCCAAGTTCGTGCCGGAGAGGTGGCTCCTCGACGAAGTCGACTACGCCGCCTACCACAAGTACGACAATCGCGTCGCCTGGCTTGCTTTCGGCACGGGGCCCCGGACGTGCATCGGTAAGAACATTGCCCTGCATGAGATCCGTGGCGTCCTTGCCAGAATCCTGTACGACTTCGACCTGGCCTTGACGCCGGAGACGGAGGACTGGCTCCATATCAAGACGCACTCTATTTGGTCAAAGCCCAAGTTGCTGGCCCGCATCACCCCAGCCAAGATGAGTGATCTTTAGACTTTGAGGGAAGTTCAGCTCGGATTCGTAAAGACAGTGTTGACCGAGTCAAGAGTTGTGGGCAGTTTTCAGGTGGACAAAGACGAGGGTATTTGGTTGTCCCGGCATATGATGCGGAGTTGCGAGATGTTGAAGAAGGTGGGAAGTCTTTGAAGTCTATTTATGAAATGGTCAAAAAATTGACTTGTCAGATTTTCACATTAGGCGAGTTGCGTATGTATTTGTTGACTTTGTATTATGCCCACATACGGAGTACAAACCCACTTGGACTACAAGGATTTAGCTGCCCAAGCAGTTGTCTGTTCTTTCGCTTTACATTTCTCGGCAACTGAAAGGTGTGAATATTGTGCTTCGGGGGTTCCGGAACGCTGTTCTAGTTGGAAATCCTTGAAACTACATGCCTCATATCATGTCAACTTTTGTCGTGATACATTTCGTACTTTGAACCAAAAACTTGAAAACGCCATATCTTAGGACGAGATTTGCCTATTGGATGATGGGATTCAACTTTCCGGGCAAACAAAAATATCACAAACTTATTTGAAAATACGCCGACGGGTCTTGATTTCTCATGCATTGTCACCGTTGATTTTCAAATCAGACACACAGGCGGTAGTTCTTCCGGCTCTTTCGGCATTTCGGCGAGGCTGCTCTCGGCCCCACATCCGGCAATCACGATTTGACCTCCACTTACACCTACAGCCTCAATCTGGGGAGCTTTACGGATACGTGTAGAATTACTCACTCAGCTCAACTAATCAAGACTTAGACCGCAATCTCGGCAACAGAATACACAAGCTTTTTGCCCTTGATCAACCCTCTCCGCACCTCCTGCATACCCTCGCCAACGCCCGCCAACCCCCCGCGGCGCACCTCCAACGGCTGCGGTACGACCAGACCCTCGTCCAGCAGCCGCTGCGCAAGAACATACCACGCCTCAGCGCAGACCCGGTCGTCGACACGGGCATCCAGGTCGAAAGGCGGGGCCCAGGCCACATCGTGACCGAACTGCGTGTAGCAGCACACCCAATCCGGCTCGACGCTGCGGCGCGTGTGGCCGCGGAGGGGAAAGGGGTCCAGAGCCACGTATCGACCACCGGCGGGACCTAGGGCCTTGTAGCACGTCGACATGGAGTTCGAGTCCGAGATGCAGTCGAGAGCAAGCGTGAGAGCGCCCTGCGTGTAGTTCAGGACGTCGGCGCCGCAGCTGGGCGAGCGATAATCAAAGGTCGCCGCGGCGCCGAGTTCCATGGATCTTGCTGCTGAGGATGCCGAGCACGTTGTGATGGGGGTGAGACCCGTCAGCTTGAGGACCTGGATCGCCATGGCCCCTGTGGCCGTGCCGCCTCCATAGACCAGCACATAGGATGCCGAGCTTGCGGTAGTTGATGCTGCTGCTGAATCCTTGTTCGAGCCGAGCTGCAGAGCGCCTTCTGTATTGTCTGGCATCGCCATCTTCATGTACTGGAAAAGGGACAGTCCGACGGTGGCCAAGGCGGCAGGCAGGGAAGCAGCGGTGGCAAGGTCCATGCTGGCTGGAATTCTCCAGGCCAGACGCGCAGGAACAACGGCATGCTCGGCAAACGCACCGTTATCCCGCCGGAGAGGGTTGTTTCCAAAGATGCCGGCCATGATGCGGTCGCCCACATGCCAAGCCTCTGCGTCGACGTCGCTGCCTAGAGCTATTACAACACCAGAGAAATCAGTGCCGCTGGTTGCGCCGGGTGTGGGAGATAGGTCGGCAGACTTGCAGTCTACCTGGTTGATCGAGACGCATGCCACGCGTACGAGCAGCTCCGACCGGCCTGGTGAAGGTACTGAGGCATCTTCGGACACGTAGACATGTCCAGGCCCAGATACTTTGAGTGCCTTGTGGGTGGTGGGCAGAGATTCCGGGGCAGTCATGGTGCAATGAGAAGTATTCTAGAGGTCTGGTTGATGCTGTAGAATTCAGCGGCTTCAAATCACCAGATGTGAGGTGAGCGGGGATATTTATGGTCCGAAAGTGGTTGCCATGCCTGGCGCCATGGGTTCACCGACATGATTACTTCTTCAGTCATCGCAAGACTGAGAGTAGATCTCTACTCCACCAGAGAGTAAAGTCGAGTAGACTCTATTGTAGGAACAGTACTGGATGAGAGGTTCGAAATGCTGCAGATGAATTTCATGTAACCCTCTTCGTTCTATTGTCTGATTAAGGAATAAGAGCACGGAAGGAAATGTAAGTGTACATTTTGCCAACTTCAGAGAAGTAGTGCGTCATTCAACTTCATTCTTTGGTTACGAGGTTAAAGTCGCGTTTTCATTATGAGCCAAAAAATAAAGATTGGTTTAATACGGAGGATGGGATCTTCCGTTCTAACAGAAGCCCGTTTAAGTCGCGTTCAACCAGTCAAACTTTGGGTACAGAGCTGCCAACGCCTCTGGCATTTGATTGCCCACCATCACATTGCTTTCTTCGTCGTTCTCGCCCTTGTATACAATAACCAGGTTGTGGTAAAAGGTCATTGACACAATATGCTTATCAAAGTACGTCGCCTGGTACCCAGAAATCTCAAACTCCTTGTGATTCAGCCCGTCGAGTAAACTCTTGAAGAACCCCATGGACGATGTCGTCGCATTCAGGTCAGTGCTCGAACCACCAGTGACCTTCCAGTACGACGTCTCCAGGTCCTCCACAGCATAGATGCCACCGCTCCGCAACAGCGGGAACAGGATCTTGAACGAGGCAATGACGTGGTCGCAGCGATGGCTCCCGTCGTCGACAATGATGTCGAACCCGCCGCACTCATCATGCATTCTCTTCAGAAGAGCCGGGTCGTCTTGGCTGCCGCGATAGATGCGTATGCGGTCCTCTTGCAGCCCCGTCTTGTCGTAGTAGTCGAGGCTCACAATCTGCGCTTTGGGGAAGTACTCCTTCCACATGCGCAGCGATTCGCCACCGGCTTTAGGGTCCTCGAACCCGCCCACGCCAATCTCCAGGACGTTGATCTCGCGGTGCCGGAAGGGCCTAAAGTGGAAGTCGTAGTGCGGTGCGTATAGATGTCCGCCGACTTCCATGGTGGTGCCCTGGCGAGTGATGGCCACCTTGCCTTCTCTATGTTTGTCCGTGCCGTGCTTGACGGCGAGTTCAGTGAGAGGCTGGTCCATGATTAGAGATTTATGATCAGAGTATGAGTTTGCAATTTAGATGTGCAGCTCTATAGAGAGAAAGAATTCTTCAAAATGTCAAAAGGTGTGGCAACCGTAACGACGTGGAGAAATTAGATGTGGTTGAGGTGCAATGAGACAAGCAAAATGCAGACATCCTCGAAAGCTAGAACCAACATAACTGTTATAGAGGATATCATCTACATTCAGAATTTCGGAGCCAGAACCACCAAGATGCAAAGCACACTTGCCATCACTCTAGAAACTGAGAGTAGGCTGTCCGTAAGTGACAACAAACAAGATGTCTCATGCAGGTTGACTCCACGTGTCCCACAAAGCAAAGTTTACACGGAGGTTTCCCACTACGGGCGGGTCCTCCTTGCCGGCACCGTTCAACCCGCCAGAGCGGTCAGTCCGGCGCCGAAGTCTCCACCGGGAAATATGGAAATCCCCTCTCTTCAGGACCCTGATGAGGGTCGCAGGAACTTGTCTCTATTGGAGCTTCTATTTGCAAGGGGATACAGAATAAGCCTAGAACAACCTTCGATACGGGGTGAAGCATTCTCAAAGTCTCCTGAAACTTAGACGGCTGAGCCCCTTCATCGCAGGAGGACCAGTGATCAACAAGAACGTCCTATGGGTGACCAGAATCGAGGCCCGGAACAAAGAGTTAAGTCCGCAAATACCACCGGCAGATGCCTGAATCTATATTCGAGAGATCGCCATTGGATGAACTGCTTAGGTGTCCTCTTTAGAGTTTCGGACCCGTCAACGTCAAAGGTAAGTAAAATGAATCATGAAGAACAGCAATACTTCCCGTCGGACCGTCCCTCCTCAGCCGTTAGTAATCGCCAAGTTGCATCCCGTTCGGCATGATCCGCTTGTGTGGCCATGTTACATTCCGGTTCGTCCCCGGCAACATTCATGGCGATGCTGTCAAACTCGCCAACCAACCATTTCACCCTGTGTGGGGTGGGATTTTGACTTCAGCTGATGTTGATCACAATCGACAAAGTTTTCAAGGGTTAGGATTCAGATTAGGTCACTTCTCTTCATCGGATCTCGAGCAGAAATAACGAGAAAGACTTCGGCGAGGTATGGAGTACTTCGTATATACAACACAGATGAGAGTCACCAGTATTCGTAACCGCTGAACAAGGTATCCCCTGAGTCATGTTGTAGAAACTGGTAGTTGTACTTTCCACAAACATCTTACATGCATACTTCGAATACTTCAGAGACGAGGTTTAATACTGCGAGGATGATACTCCACTGACTGGTTCGCTCAATACGTATACGGGAACGACCACTCGAGAGCACGCGATTGCTAAGCTTTGGCTTTGCATCGGCGACAGCTCACGTTCAACGGGTCTGAACCGGCGAAGAGAAAGTCTGACCTCTGGCATCTCAAAGTAAGAGCTGGAACGGTTCTATCTGAGCGGTGAAGAATGTTACGCCGGGCTATTGTCGCATCAAAGATGGCAACGGACGGGAAATTGGAAGCCCGACTCTCATTATGGCTTCCTTGGGGAAGCACCTCAAGCTCCCAGACCAAGCCTCAAAAACAAGGGTGCGATTCCTAATAGTGACAGAGTGTATACGTCTGCATCTTCTGCCATATCTGTTCCAGCACTGATCCTGGACCCTTCTCATCGCGACTTTATAATAGCATACAAAGATGGTATACTTCATAGCTTGTCTACTGTTGGTCGCGGCATACGTTGTGTCTATTGTTATCTACAGGTTATTCTTCAGCCCTCTGGCTCGTTTCCCTGGGCCGAAATTGGCCGCTCTCACATTCGGGTACGAGTTCTATTACGACTTTTTCAAAGATGGGGGTGGCCGATACTGGGCTGAGATCAACCGCATGCATGATGTATCAGGTAAGTGACGAAGTGATTCGGAGTTACTTGTTCAACTCCAATATGTTAACTTATCTCTCTATACAGGCCCCATAGTGCGTATAAACCCATGGGAAGTGCACATTCGGGATCCAGAGTTCGCCGAAGCCTTCAAAATCTCGAGAAAGACGTCCAGGCCGTGGTGGTATTACCGGTCCAATGGTCCGCCGAACAGTGTCCTACAAGCCGGGTAAGTGAGACTGCCTTATGGACGTCTGCCGTCCTCATTCACGAGTATATGCTGACCCCTTGTTTTTCCGTGCCTCTACTCAGCCCTCATGAGCTACATCGGATGCGCCGCGAGGCTATCCTACCCGTGTTCGCCACCCCTCTGGTCATGTCTCGCGAACACTTATACGAGGCGCTGGTGCAAAGATTACTCGCGAGATTCCGCGCTGCCAAGGGCACCGGCGCCGTATTGACCTGTAAATCGACCCCCCTCCCTCCCAATTTCCCTATACCTCTACTTCCTCATCGTCAGAGATCTTGCGTGTGTACCTGGTGACTTTGCTGACCCGCTGACCTGTCCATGATCTCTAGTGGGCCATGCTTTTCGATGCCTCGCCATCGATCTGACGTGCACCACGAACCTTGGCTACGACTTTGGGTTCGTCGACGTCGAGGACTTTGAAAATGACATGTTCAAGATTGCGAGGACTTTGGGTCGCATGAACATGATCAGCCGTCACATCGGACACTGGTTCTTTGCCGTAATGCGAGCACCTGCGCGCTGGGCCAAGCGTGCAGAGCCTGTCAGTCCTGGAATGATTCGTGTTCTACGATTCCGGAACGTAGGTGGTTTACTTCATCATCATCATCGGCGTCAGCATGAATAAAAAGCCTCCACGTGACTAACTGAAGTGTGTGGCTTCTCTGCTTAGATGATCGATCAGGCCGTCACAGATCAGTATCGCGCTGCAACGACCAATAACACAACTGTACGCGAAAAGACTGTTAGTAGCGTCGGCAGCGGTAATGATAGCTTCAAATCCACCGTCCAGCATATTCTCGCCTCAAACCTCCCAGCCCACGAAAAAGAGTTGACGCGCGTGGTAAACGAGGTCTGGCTCTGCATCAACGCGGGCATCGACACAGAAGGCCAAGCCATCGCCTTTGCGACCTTTATGCTCCTAAGCCACCCCAACGAGCTCGCACGGCTCCGCAAAGAGCTAGCAGAATGCGAAAAGAGACTCGGCAGACTCCCCACGTACCAAGAGCTCAAGGAGCTAAACTACCTACACGCAGTCGTCCAGGAGTCGTTCCGTCTAAACCACCCCATCGCTGGCCGCTTGCCCAGAACTGACCCGGACAATGAAATTCAGTATGGGGACGTGGTGATACCCCGGGGCGTCACCGTTTCCGTTTCCACGTACGATATCTACCTTGACGCCAACATCTTTCCGGATCCGCACAGATTCGAGCCCGGACGTTGGCTTGACCCGAGTGAGAGGAAGCGCCTTCGGAAGTACGTCAACAACTACGGCCGCGGGACCCGCAGCTGCGTGGGGATGGACGTGGCCAATATGGGCATCTATCTGACTTTGGGACGTATCTTCGCTCCGTCGGCTGGCTTCGAGCTAGCGTTGCATGATACGCTGTATGAGCGCGATGTCGCCTTTGATGCCGACTTTTTCGGGGCGTTTCCCAAGAGTGGTTCGAACCACATCAAGGCAATTGTAGTCTAGAGAAACATGATTTATGGGCTTGTGTTTGAGATAAGCAAGTGTCTTCTGGGGCAAAGTGTGAGATTTCTGCTCAACAAAACCAATCATGAGAATGACATTACCAAAGGCTCAAGTTCGCAAGACTTCCTAGCGGGTAAAAGCTCAAAATGAGTAGATAGGGGGACCTTTTATCGGCTCGCCCTTTTCCTTGGTACGCTTTAAATATGTTCAATAGACTACCTCTGGGAAGTCTGATCCCTCTTTGCGCGGTGAAACTGGTTGATAATTGTGGGTTGGTTGTTGTGTGACCCATGAAATTGTCTTCGGAGTCTCCCCAGAAAAGGTACCAAATTGTGTTCCCGTAGATACTTGTTAGCCATATAATCATCGTTGCATGCTCAACCACATATCTTGAAAGACATGTCCGGCAGACAAATCCACCTGAGAGCCTCCAACCAACCCGGAGCCATTCGTACCCGCCAGATCATGGTATACCCTTATTCGTCATCCTCTCCCTCTTCCTCGTCACCATCATCATCCTGTTCATCCTCATCCTCATCCTCATCCTCATCATCATCCTCTTCATCATCCTCTTCATCCTCATCCTCACTCCACCCGAAATAATGCGGATGAGCATACCCAGAATACAACGGTCGGCTCTCCACCCTCCTCGCCCGATCCTCCTCGCTCATCCTCCCCTCGACAAACCTCCACGTATCCATAACAACAACATACTCAACCGTATCCCCCTCCCCGTGATGAGCCCACGTCTGCCCGCCGAGTTTACTCGCCCCCGTCCAAGTCCACTCCACCAACTCCGTCCCCTCGGCACTCAAATACCCTTCTTCCTCTTCCTCTCCATCCTCTCTCTCCCCTTCCCCCCCTCCCCTCCCATCATCCCTCCCAGCACCACCACCTCCAACGACCAACTTCCACCCCTTATTCCTCCCCACAATCCCCATCATCTCCTCCCTCTTCCCCACAAGCGTCTCATACTCGACCCTCAACTCCCTCAACCCCTTCGGCCCCCGGAACCCCCGCAACCAATCCTCCTTCATCCTCAAAGGCTCGTCGCTCTCCCAGTGCCACCAGTCCGAATACCGCACCGTAATCGTCAACACCTCGGGCCAGAATTTCGGCTGCGCAAACAGCGTCGCCAGGTTCCGCCCGTCTTCGAGCCAGTACATCTGCGTAAAGAAGCGCACCTTGGTCAGGTCGCGCGCCTGTTGCTCCGTCAGGGCGGAGAAGAAATTCTCGCAGGCGTGGTTTCTCGTTCTTCCTTCCGGGCCGCGGTCTGCAGATTTTCATACACGAGATTAGTTTCCTTGACCATACAACTCAAACCACATCAAATTCCCCGCAAAGACCTTCGTGCAGAGGCCAAACAGGGGCACAGGAGGAACAATAAAAAAGAAAGAAATAACGAAGAGGAAAC